GGGGGCCCGGCCCTGGGCAGACTCGCAGTCGCCCCGACACTGCCAGACACACCCCCTCCTGCTGTTCCTCTTAAGCTACCGTCCAGGAAGTGGGAGGATGCTCTGGCCCAGAGAAGAGTGAGGGAAAAGTCCTGCTTGGAACTCCTGCCCGCACAACCCTGGGCCCCCGGGCGTCCTGTTCCCTTCCCTTCGAAGCCCCCTGGGGGTCTCCTGGAGCGCCGGCTGTCTTTCCATCTCACTCACTCCTGCCTCCGTCTGTTTCTACTTTACGTGGTAGAAGCTCAGCCCCCAGACCCCTGGACCAGGTGGTGCCCCCAGCCCACAGCTGGGGGTGCTGAGTCATCCCTGCTGGGCCCAGGCGGTGGCACCGCAGGCCCCACGTGGAGATGAGTTGTCCCCACTCAGGGCAGGGGCAGCGTCCCTGCAGGGCTCCGCTGGGACCAGACACCAGCTCAGAGTTGCCCCGGCCCGTGTCCTCCCTCGGCAAGTCGCTTGACCAGAAGCCCATCTCCGGCTGCATCCAGGGACCCTAACCTAACACTGCGTTCTCACCCGTAGATGAAGGCCTCAGACGCCAGGCAGAGAGTGGTCTTGCTTCTTACCCTTCCCCCCTCCCCTCCTCTCACCCCCACTTCTGAGGCAAGGGTCCTGACCTGGGGGGACTCTCCGTAGCCTGCCAGGTGTGCCGGGCTAGTGCCGAGCCCCGTGGGGCCTCCGTGGAGCAGCAGGGTGTCCTGCCATACCAGACAGGCCTTGGAGCTGCGCCCTGAACCCCCGCGCGACTCAGTGGAATGATTCCTGTGAAGAGGAGCTTTTCTGCGGCCAAAGTGAGTTTTAGCTGTTCGCAGGCTCTGTCCTGCTTGCAGTCTGAGTTGGGGGAGATCTCTGCTGCAGAGTGTGTAGATGTGGATGCCCCCATCCGAGGCCCTCGAAGCTGGACTGCCTGCCAGCCCACCACATGTGGCCACCTCTGTGGCCCCTCCCTGGTGGCTCAGCAGCTGCAGGGTCCCTGGTTGTGACCTCAGGGCCTTCTGATGTTGCAGGGAGCCTGGAGGCCTGGCCCGCCCGGCCCCAGGGCTAGTGCTCGTGTGGTGGCGTGGCAGCCAGGACCATGGCCAGCGCCCACCCCCTCTGGCGCCACACAGGCCAGCCCGTGAGCAGCCTGCCCCTTGGGAGGCTCCCTCGCCCACCCCTTTCTGGTGGGTGCTCAGGGCACCTGGGGCTGTGCCTTTCCATGTTGCTGCGCCAGCCTTGGGGCGGGCAGGGGACCTCACATAGGCGTCTTCCCAGCCAGTGCTCCAATGCACACCGCCAGGATCAGGGAGGTGCCCCACGTCAGCCTGGACCCGGCAGCGCCCTCCTGCCCTGCGGGAAGCAGGCCCAGAGTGGTTTGCAGGGTCAGGTGGGGACGCCCCTCCCTCTCCTCCCAAGCCCTGGGTGCGTGGGCCTCTTCCTCCCTGCCCTCCCCAGGACCATCTGAGCCACGTGGCCTGACCCCCACCCTGGGCACCCCCTCCCGCGTGCTGTGGGGGGTTGCAGTCAAGCTTTCAGATCCCCAGCTTCCTTACCTGAAAATGGGGTAAGGGCTGTTCTCCATCCAGTGGAGAACACGGACCAAGCTGTTGCATGGAGCTTAACAGACATGTCTCCCTGTGCTGACACAGTCCCGTCCAGGACCAGGGCCCTCGCCTGGCTCCTCAAGAGAGTTTTGCCTAAGGGCCAAGGGCTGGGGGCCAAGTCCAGGGAAGAGACCCCAGTGTCCTCAGAACAGCCCTGGTCCCACGTCAGGCTGCTCAGGCCCCCCCCAGCCAGTGCTGGTGTAGAAACTTCCCCTCAATGGGGCCCTTTGCTGGCAGTGGGGCAGGTAAGCAGAGGGGTCTCCATGCAGGAACAGGAGGACTCCTTGTGGGGCCCGGGGGACAGGTCACGGTGGGACTGCAGCATTTCTGGGCCAGGTCGGAGGCCCCCTGGGTCCCAGCCTGCTGGATAGCTGGTGCCCTGAATCAGACTGGGGCAGCCCGGAGGGAGTGGGGCCCATGGGCCAGGTCTTCGCAAGTGGCCTTGTCCGGGGAGTCTGTGCCCAGTGGGCTGTGACCACACGGAGAGTGCCCTGCCCAAGGCCGCCCTCGAAGTCCCTGTGGGGAGCAGCCTGGCTTCACCTCCACCAGGAGAGAAAACCAGGTCCCCACCGAGACAGAGGCCTCCTGGGGACCCCAGATGACTTGGGAGTGGGCACCTTGTGTCCTGAGGCTTCCCTCCAGATTTCACTAGATCTTTGATCATGCCAAGTGTTGCCATGGAAACCAGCTGCTGCGAATAGAGAAGAGGTGGGGGAGGGCAGCCCCACCTGGATGGAGGAGGGACTCCAGTTCTGACAGGGAAGGAGGCGCAGAGACAGCTGGCCCAGAGCTTGGGGGGTGGGGTGGGGGCAGCAGTGCTGGGGCCAGGTGGGCCGCCTGTGTGCCTGAGTGTGCAGGTGTCCTCATGTGTGTGCATGTGTGTCCTCCTGTGTGCACTCACGTGTGTATTAGAGACACACAGGGGTGGTCGGGGGGCCTGCTCCATGTTCGCCTTCTCAGCCTGGGTCCCAGTGAGCGCAGACACTCCCACGACTGGTGGGAACAGGCCGCTGCTGGTGTGAGTCTCGGACCTCTGGCCACCCCGAGGCGAGGCTGCAGGTGCAGCCGCTTTATCTAGGGGCTGCTCCGGCAGCACAGGCCGGGGTGGGAGGTAAGGAGGGAGAGGGGTTCGTGGTGTGCTGTCAACCAGTCCCGCGGGTCCTTTGTGGGTGGTGGGGAGCGCAGCTCGGGGCTGTCCTGCCCCCAGGGCCCAGGCAGCTGGGCCTTCTCTCCTCCGCCCTCATCCCTGTGTCGCTGGTGGGGCTGCTTCTAATGGCACCAGCTCCCAGGGACTTGTCTTGCCTGCTGTCAGGCAGGGCGGCTGGCGCAGCCTCCAGGCATAGAGCTGGCGTGTTTGCAGGGCACTGACAGTGTCAGCGCCAGTGCCTGCCTGAAACCGCAGCCCTACCGGCTCCTGGGGCCCTCTGTCCACTGGGGCCCGCCCCACTGGGCCCCTCCTGCCAGCCCAGGGACCGAACGTGGAACCCAGTGCTGGCGGGCAGCTGCCATTGTCACATCAAGGTCACATGTTGAGGACCCGATGGCTGCTCAGACCCCAGTGCAGCCACACTGGGTCAGCAGGGCTTTGACGGGGAAGGTCAGGGATGTGATGGTGGCGGTGGCACCGGTGCTCAGATCCCAACCCGAGTCGTTCTCGGCCCTGACTTGGCTTATCCTCACCCGCACCGGGCGCTTTAAAGGAGATACACTCACTCACGCACTGCTGGTGGGCGTGTAGAAGGGCACAGCCACTCGAAAGCCACGTGGTTCTCGTGAAAACTAAAAATGGACTCACCAGCTCAGCAGTTGCACTCTTAGGTGTGTAGAAGAGAGAAACAAAGACACCTCCGTGCAGAAACTTGTACATGAACGTTCGTAGCAGCTTTATTCACAATGTTCCCAAACTGGGAACTGCCCAGGTGTCCTCCAGGAGTGATGCCAGCCCAGCTCGGCCCCGGCAGGGGCCCGTGCAGACACAGCCCCGTGATGGTTCCGCAGGGCAGGACGCTGGCGGAGGGAGGCCCGTCTCAAGGGTGCCTCCAGCCCGACTACACCCATGTGACAGTGTGAAATCATGTCCTTCCAGAGACGGGGATGGATCAGTGGCCCCAGGGTTACGGTGGGTCGAGGGCAGAGCTGCGAAGGGGCAGCAGGGGGAGCCTCCTGGGCCGGCATCTAGGGTCCCCTGGACTGTAGGGACGACACGGAGCCGCACATGGGATAAAGCTGCAGAGGGCCACAGGCACACTCACACACATGCATACACACTACACACAGTAACCCCCGGGCAAGCATCCTGGCGCCGTGTGGTGAGGGGCCCGGGGCACAGGCGGCTTACCCAGCCCCTCACTTGCCCCGAGAGGCCGGCGGGGCTGCATCCCGTCTCCTCCGGATAAGGATGCCTTGGTCGGTCTGGGGAACGCCGTGTCCGTCCAGGTCCTGACCGGCTCCCCCCACGGGTCTTCCAGCTGCGACTGAAGGGTGCACCCCAGCTTAGCCCACTTCCATGATGGATGCACAGGCCCCCAGGAAGTGCGGCCGGCGTAGGAAGAGCAGGAACTAGACCCAGGAGAAGGTTGGCAGGAAATTTCCATACAGGTACAAGACGCCTACCCCACGGCCAGTCCTGCTCCCCTCGGGCGCCCCCGGAATGCACTCCAGAGGCACAGGGCGGGAGCTGGGAGGGTCTCTGTCCACAGGGAGCGCTGGGACCCCGTCCTGCCTGAGCTGAGGGCCTCCAGAGGGGTGCCAGGACCCCCAAGCACCCAGAGCCTTGGCAGGTCTTCCTTCAGGGCCAGCGGCCATCCCACCTGAACCACCGAGGAGCCTGTTCATGACCCTTGCTTCCAGGAGGGTATGATGGGAGGAGTCTGCAAAGCCCCAGGGCTCTGGGGACCCTCAGGGGCCCACAGGCCAGGCGGTGCAGGGCCCCAGCCAGCAGCGGCCTGTTTCTGAATGTGTTGACCAGGCAGGCTGGAGCCTGCAGTCCCTCGGTCAGTGTAGCTAACAGCCTCCTGGAGAAAATGCAGAGAGAGGGAGGGCTGGCGGCCGCCCTGGGCTGAACCTCCTCTGTGCGCCTGCGGCAGGTGGTCTGGACGCCTGTCCTGCCTTGCGCCTCATCCTGTCACTGGGCTGCAGGCTGTCCTGTGAGGCCCCGTGTGGCAGGTCCACGTGGCAGAGTGACCCTTGTGAGAAACCTAGGGGCTGGGGCCCCTTGGGCCAGGCCACCACTGCAGGGCTGAGATGTGGCTCTGGGCCAGCCCAGATCCCAGCTCTGCTGCTTCCTGTCTGTGTGACCTTGGGCAAATCACTTAACCTCTCTGTGCCTCAGTTTCTCCTTCTGTAAAGTAAAGTGTGCATAGCACTACCTACCTCCCCGAGTGGTTGTAAGGTGCTCAGAGCAGTGCCGGGAGTGTGGGCACTTGCAGATGAGGGAAAGCTACTGCCTGCAGCTGGGCGGCAGCCCCCAGAGATGCCAGGTGCCCCGCAGGTTCTCCTGGCCGACGGAGACCAGCACAGAGAGCCTGCAGCCCTGGAAGTTCACGAAGACAAACAGCTCGCTGTGGGATCGGCTGCCCCTGCAGAAGACCCTGGTGCCAACAAGGTCCATCCCAGTCAGAGGGTAAGTGGCAGGCACCATTGCTGGCGTCCCCACCTGAGAACCACACCACTTCCAGCGGAGGAAACTGAGGCCCGGGCAGCTCCAGGAGGGGGCTCATCCACAGGTGGCAGGGCAGGGACGAGGGCCCGAGAGGAGGGAGAGGCAGCCGGGGTCTGGACTCCATACAGCTGCTCTGAGGCTAGAGGTGCCGGCAGGGGACCCCGACACTGGGCAGCCCTCAGCCAGCCACATACCCACAAGCACACACATTCACGCGTGCCCCCCACCTGGGGGGACACACAGCGAAGCACCCAGATACACTTGGAAAGACCCACACAGGAAACATAAAGACCCACAGACACACACACGCTCACCCTAAACTGGGGGTCAGATCTGGCTGTCCCTCAGATGACACCAGCCATAGATAGGGAGGGGCTTCCGTGACTCCACCCTGCCCCTCCGAGTACCCCAGCCCTGCCCCGACTGCCTCGCCCCCACCCCATGACTCCTCCAGCAACTGGGTACGGGGGCCTCGGAACTGAAGGCAGTGTCTGTCCTGACCAGGGATGACCTGGCTGCATGCTCCAGGTGATCACCCCGGCAGGTCACAGAGATGTACACGGTCCCCCAGTTGGAACCGAGAGGCCGTGCACATGCCCCCCCCACACGTGCACGCATGTCACACACACCTGCCACACACACGCACCCCACAGCAGCACGGGTGGTGCCCATCCCCCATCCACACCCGCCCTGGCTCTTGTCCCAGGCCTCAGCAGCCCCCCTCACTCGGCTGCGGGTTTCTGCTGTGAACCTCTGAATGGACTGGCTTGGGGCTGAAGGCACAGGTGTCCCTGGGTCTCAGTGTCCCCTTTTGCTGAAAGAGTCAGTGAAGGCAGGGCCCTCAGGCTGTGCACGACGGGGAGGAGGCTGAGGCCGGGCCCAGGGCTGCCCTCCCTCACAGTTGGGGCCCCTGCAGGGAGGGCACTGCGCTGCTCGGTGCCAGCACTCATCGGAGGGGTCGTGGGAGCCGCTGGAGCCTGGGTCACAAGGGGGAGGGTGGTGTCACGGGGAGGGGGCCACCCGATGCTGTGCCCTTCCCGCAGGTGACAGGCCTCCTGGCAGGCACAGGGGTGCTGCCCGCTCCCAGGCTGGGCAGGCCCAGGGTCCACACTGGGTGGCATCAGGGCTGCTGGCCCTCTGGGCAGATGGTGCCTGGGAGGTGACGGAGGTCCACATGGGGCGTGAGGCCGGTCTCAGTCACGTACACCAGCCAACTTCTCTGGGCCGGGGTCCCCGAGGGTCAACACGGGGCTTGTGTGGCTTCTCCAGGTTCGGGGCCCCGGATTTCACGTCACTGTGCAGCCTCCACCTGCCGCCGCCGCCGCCGCCGCCAAGCCACCTCTGGGAACTGATGCTGCTGGGCCACCGCTTCCTGGGCCGCCTGCCCCCTGGGGGCCTC